GAATAATTTGCCTGAACCCCGGGGGTTCATAAATTTCACCCTGAACCAGGGGTCCAGAATAAGGACGCTCTTTTTTTGATGCATCTATAAATAAAACAATTATAGATATATCAAAAAAATGACCATTTTTGTCACACGTATTGATATATCAAAAAAAAATAACCATAGGTGTCTCAAAAACGATACTTTAGCAATTAAGTTGTTCATGTCACATGAGTTTGAGTTAACTATTTTGCTAAAGTATCGTTTTTGAGACACCTATGGTTATTTTTTTTGATAAATAATAAACCATTTTTGTTTATGATCACCCGGCACCGGCGTGACAAGAATCTGTGCATCACTTTGTGTCAGTGCGGAGATAATGACTTGTTTAAGAAAATTCAAATCCTAAAAGTCTACATAGGCTGAAATTCTTCCGTAGTGCTAACCCGAAATGGTATAATGAAATGTCAATCATAAACAAGTTTTTAAACATATATGCATGTGCGAAAAAAAAATAAGGCTTTTTTTGGTTTAAAATAATTTGTGTAAATCAATAAAATAGTTGTGTAACGTTATAAAAAAATTATTCGCAAAACCGTTTAAAGTATCTTTATTTTTAAAAATTTACTGATTTTTACAAAAAAAAACCCCAAATAGTATACTTAATTATTCATTCGTAAAGAAACAATAAAAAAATAAAATAATAATAAAATAATAAAATAAAATAAAATGATAAAAATAAAATAATAAAATAATAAAACAAATAAAAATAAATTCATGTAAAAAAATCACCTTTTAAAATATGTTTAATGCAAAAGCAAAGAGATAATATTTTTTATGAACTCCATAATAAATATATAAAAAATAAAAATAGGCATAAAAACTATTTTTTTAAAAGAGTAATAATAATAACATTCATTTATATTATAACTATAGAATACATGAATTCTTCATAAAAATAAATAAGACTTATACATATAAAAATAATTTTAAACTTCTTAACCAATTTCATTCTATCACAAAGTTATTTAAAAAACATTGAAACATTAATTATTAAAAAAATCATATCAATAAAAAATTTAAAAAAATCTTAGAATAATTTAATCCGCTGGTACAATAATGCATCCTGGCAGTTAGAACTGCCATTATCGAATCAAAAGGCTAATTTGGATGTTTCTTTAAGATCTTCAGCATTGGGTTGTAAAAAATATTTTCTTGAAAGATCGGTAATATCATCATTTCTTGAATAAGGCATAGTTCTATATATGTCTTTATTTTTGATAACATTGGAATATGGATCGGCAATATCGTCATCTTTTGAATAATCATTATAAAAAGGAACTATTATATTAAATTAATAAATTAATAAATATTTAAATGAAATAATCAAACTTAACTAATTTAACTTACCAATTTTATTATCGTCTTCACCTAATCCAAAAGTTTGAAATCTTTCTTTAGCATTGTCTTGAAAGATCGGCAATTCCGTCATCTCTTGAAATACTATAAAAAAAAAGTATCACCTATCATTTTATTAATAAATATTTACATACTGGTATAAAAAGAATATCATCAAACTTAACTAATTTAACTTACCAATTTTGTCATCGTCTTCAATGGTTAGAAATATTTCAGAATTATCATAAGGCTTAGTTAGAAAAATGTTTTTATTTTTGATAACATTGGAATAAGGATCGGCAATATAGTCATTTCTTAAATTATTATTATCTATTATTTTAATTAATAAATTAATAAATATTTACGTACCAGTATAGAAATGATAATCATCAAACTTAACCAATTTAACTTACCAATTTTATCATTTAACTCATTTACGTGTATTGGGCGAGGGCCACGTTTCTTTACCGGTTGATCGTATTCGCATTCTAACCTCCTCGTTAAACATCTTTCGCAAGGTGAGTCGTCGGAACATTTTTTTTTAGCCTTTTGACAATTTTTACAAGCAAGAGTAACATTATTTCTTATGGTTTTTACTTTACACATATTTAATTCTGGTTCACCTAAGAACAGCACTATTTACATATAGAAAATCTGGATAAGTTATTTGCAAAAGTATTATAAAAATTTATAGTTTTAAAAAATTTTAAAGAATTGACTTACAAAACTATAATATAAATAAATTTTATTATAAAATGATCGACGAACGATGTATATTGCTGGATTGAGGGAAAAATTTTTGGATCCTTTTTATATATAAATTCTGATATCGGAAAATAGATGTGTAACGAAATTTTGCGTTCTATTCATATTTATTTTCAAGAAATATCTTTAAGAATGGCGGTTTAGGCCACTATTTTATTTCGTTTCATCTATATTTATATTTGTATTTATTTAAATTAAGAAAACCTTGAAATATTATTTCCCTTTTTTTCTTAATTGATAAATGCTAATATGATTTATTTGTAACGCAAAACATAACAAAATTTAGGTTACATAGTGATAGTCTAATCGATAATCACCTAATAAATGAATCGTTTCGATCGAATTCCAAAATTTTTTCACTTCTAATTGGTTATCCAACTAAGTCAGCACTATTTTATTTATAATATTTGGGAATAAGTTATTTAATGAAATTATAATATATATGATTTTAAAAAATTAATTTTTTCAGTGTATAAAAAGTATTTTATTTTTAAAAATTCACAGACTTTTCACAAAAAAAAATCCCAAATAGTATATACTTATTTATTCATTCGTAAAGAAACAATAAAAAATACAATAAAATATAAATAAAATAATAAAATAAAATAATAAAAATAAAATAATAAATAATAAAATAGTATACTTAATGAATAGGATTTCGGGCAGTTTTTGAAGCCACGTTTCCACCCATTGAAGAAACCACCTGACTTCATATTATATAATTATCTTTACCACTGGTCACAACATATATTTTATGTGGAGAGTTTTAAAAATAAACATGCACCATGTATATTTTGATGGTTTCATTATTATTTAATTTCTATATTAAGAAATTTGGCTCAGAAAAAACGATTTTTTTAGACTGTTTCAAACACTAGTTTCCCTCCAAAAAAGTCAAATAAATAAATTATTAACGTGATTAAATCGTATATATTTTAATTATCATGTCAAGAAATCTTTATCCCGTCAAGATTATTTTCTTCAAGTTGGATTCAATTATTCTATAAAACGTTTCCACCTTTAATTCATTAATTTTTTTGATTTTTTAAATTCTTGGAAAAATTCGGGATTTGTCGGTAACACAATTTAGTCACACATCTTATTTTCCGACACGGAATTATATAAGGTGTTAATTTTCCCTGCTCTATTTTTTTTTTCTTCTTTTTAAATCTTTTAATATTTAATAATTATTATATTCAAATCATATATGTGTAAAAACAATAGAAACAATAGAACAAATGTTACAATTGCCTGTAAGAACTGCCAAAAAGCAAAAAAAAGATGTTCCGACAATAACCAAAACTTACCTTGCAAAAGATGTGTCGTGAAGAAGTTAGAATGTGAATTCGTTCAACCGATCCTGAGACGTGGTCCCCGGATTCATACAAGTGAAATGGTAAGTTATGAGATGACTCTGTATTGTATTGTATATAACCCCAAGTAAATCATTTATTTATTTTAAAATAATAGATAATAATATTTCAAGTGATGATGATGATACTCTTTCGGAAAAATATAAAATAGAACTTAATGCGGTCGCGGGATTAAGGGATGCATTCCCTGACAAGTGTTTCGATTCGATAATGAAAGTTCTAACTGCCACTAGCAAAAAAACATGCCATAATGAAGCTAATCATAGTTGTCACGCAGGTTGCTTTGTTGTATCAACGGATTAAATTATTCAAGATTTTTTTATTGTAAATAATTGATAATATAATGTAATTTAATTGTAGATAATTATAATGTAATTTAATTGTAGATAATTATAATGTAATTAATTGTAGATAATAATTTTTCTAATTTACAACTTATCTAATAATACTAATAAGAAGTATAAATTTTTCCGCCTTTTCCCTTAATTTTGATTTTATTTTTTATTTTTTTATTTTTTTATTTTTTTTTTATTTTTATATTCTTTATATTTTATATTTTTATTATATTATTTTTTTTTATTTATTTTATTTATTTTTGTATTTTTATTTTTATTTTATTTTTTGGTTTTATTATTTTTTATATTTTTATATTCTATATTCTTATACTTTATATTAGTTTTATATTTATATTTTTATATCTTTTATTTTATATTTTTATATATTTTATTTTTATATTATTTTTATATATTTTTTTTATTTATTAGCATTATTAACATTATTAGCATTATTAACATTATTAGTATTATTAACATTACTGATCACTTTAATAGTCATTAGTGTTACAATTCTACATATTAGTGTTGTTGACAGTCCGACTTGAAGTCAGAGTCAAGCAGGACCGTATTAACTTGAACTATAATTCAAACTGATGGAGATGGACGTTACTATACTATCGACTCTATCAACTTTACATCAACTCCATTAGCCATTTGCTTGACCCATCAACTTAATTAACCCCATTAAACAAGAGGTGACAATAGAAATATACCTTTATCTTGTTTTTAAAAACTTTTATATTAACAAAACTTTTAAATAATAATAATTAGTTATATATATATATCTACATTCTTCATTGAAAAAATAAAATTTGAAAACTGAAGAAACGGAAATATAAAAACTTACATGAATATCCCAAAAAAATTCGAAGAAAATTTTATCAGTCGATGGATAGGAGACTCAATTTCATTAACCCAATTTACATTACATAAGAGGTGACAATAAAATATACCTTTATCTTGTTTTTTAATATTTTTGCATTAACAAAATTTAAATAATAATAATAATTAATTATATATATAAATACATTCTTCATTAAAAAAAAAGAAAAATCGAAAACATAAAAATGTGGTTAAAGGTCTCTATCCCAAAAAATTCGAAGACAATTTTATCGGCTGATACCAATTTGCAAAAAAAAAAAATAATTAAACAATATAGTATAATTTATTTTCCTAAATTCGTTATTTTTTTTAAAAAAAAATGAGAGAAAGAGAAGCGGAAGAATATTATCGATAAAATTTATTCTTACAATAAATGTAAATTTTCGGAAAACGAAAATTAAATAATAATACAGTGTTACAAACAATACTAAGTAAGAAGTAGATATAGATAATATGTATATGTAATGTTATAATGACCAATAATTGCTAATAATGTTAATAATACTATTAATAAATAATAAAAATTTGGAGTTGGCGCTTGAATTACGTTGATCTTTTAAATTTAGGACACTTTTTATTTTCATTATTAAGTCAAAATGTTTCTTTCAGATCTTTGACAGCATTGGGATATAAACCATATTTTCTTGAAAGGTTGAAATATCAGAAATATTTTTATGTAAAGAATCTATTATTTTAAATTAATAAATTAATAAATGATTTTTACATTAATTCATTTGCATGGATTTGGCGTGGACCACATTTTTTTTTAACAGGATGAATATAGCATTCTTGACACATATTTCGCAAGATGAGTTGTGGTTGTAATCGGAACATTTATTTTTAAGCAATTTGACAATTTTTATAAGCAACAATAACATTCACTCTCTTGGTTTGTATTAAATGAATGTTAAAAGATATTAATTTAAAGTAAAAAAACAATTCTTAAAAAAGTAGCCTCTTTTATTGTAAATTTTAGTAGCGTTCAAATATGTTATTAACACTTTGCATTTACAATAAATTATAAAATCTTCATATTTTTGCGTTACAATGATTGGATGGATGTAAAATATCAATTCCAGCGTGTATTTTTAAGGAAATTTTATTTTTTAATCTCAAGTAAAATCACTTATTTATTTAAAAAAAATCCTTTATATAATAATATTTCAAGTGATGAGAAAATATGGATAAGAACTCAATTCGGACATTCCCTGACCTTTTGGTTACCAAAAATTCACGATTTTGATTTGGCCAAAGTTACCGGAAAATCTCGTGATGGATAATCATAGACCCACTTGCCGGGCAGCTGTTTTTTATCAAATTTATTTATAAATTTCAAGGGGCGAATTATAGCACAAGAAATAATTTAAATTACATAAACTTTTTTTTTAAAAGAATTCCCTGATAAAGGGCTATCATATGATACCTTATTTATTAAAATTAAATCTTGTCTTAAATAAAACTAACCAAAATATAGAGTCGAATTGTTAATCGTTATATCATTCGATTTCAATAACTATCTATCATAAATACAAACTATCTTATATGAACTTGTAGCTTAGAACTAGAGATATAATTTTTATTAGTACTACATTTGAGAGTTTTTAATTAAAATTAGAACTTTACTTAGACACAACTAAAATCGATCGAAATTTTTTAAAATATGATTAGAAATTAAAAAATATTTATTAATCGTTGACATTACAAAACTTTGTTTATACTAATAAATGTTAATAGTCATACTAAGTAATCTTAAAGTGAGTAATGTTGTGCATCTACTTAAAAATTTCAGATCTATATCATAAGAATTGAAGAAATAATTGATATTTAAACTTTAAAAAATAACTAATAATTATTCCCTCAATTTTTAGATATAGGTCTGAATTTTTGCAGTAGATGCACAATATTATTTTCTTTAAGTTTACTTAGAATTATTTTTTATATTTCCTAGTGATCAAAAAGATTTATATGTATCAATGATTGATAATTATTTTTAAATTCCAAAATGACCGGCACAATGAATAATCCAAATTACATAAACTTTTTTTTTTAAAAATAATTCTCTGATAATATGATACCTATTTGTTAAATTTGGATACCGTAATTTTGTTTGTATCAAATAAAATCATTCAAAAATGGCAAATCAGATTATTGATCATAGATACAAACTATCTTGTTGCTTAGAATAAGGACTACGACTTTCATTATAATGATTTTTGATATTTTCTAGTAAAGGTAAAAACTTTGCTTAGACACAAATGAAATATTTATTAATATTAATAAAATTAATAAATTTGATTTAATTAATCTATATTTTATTAAATAATATAATAATTTTATTGTATAATAATGTAGTATATAATCATAAATTATAAAAAAGCATTAATTGTAAAATAATTTGTGAAAGAATTTTAGACAAATATATTAATATAAATATTTCATTTGTGTCTAAGTAAAGTTTTTACTTTTACTAGAAAATATCAAAATCATTATAATGAAAGTTGTAGTCCTTATTCTAAGTCATAAGATAGTTTGCATCTATGATCAATAATCTGATTTTTTTTTTTTTAAATCCAATAGAGTCTTACTCCAGGAAATTTAATTAGGCGTAGATTTACGGAAATATCACATGACCCCCGAAAAATTTGATTTTTTAACTTTGGCCGAGATTTAGGTGACAGGGAGCGATTTTCTACTAAGATATTTCTAAGATAG